AGTTTACAACAACAACGCCAACGACAACGACAACAACGACGACAGACAACGGACAAATTTTGATCAGAAAAGCTCACTTGAGCCTTTGGCTCAGGTGAGCTAAAAAGGAGTAAAACGTGTCGTAAGGATGATCCAGATGTCAGCATTCCAACGGCTCTCCCTTCTTCCTCAATGGTCATTTTGCCCATGTTTTGTGTTTTTTAGTTAAACCAGTTGTTAAGAATCGATAATGGTCACAAAAAGAAACTAATTACACAAAGCACGTGCCTCAAAGTACAAATTTATTGTTTTTAAGCTTCGTCACGGGACATTGGTTTTCATCGGTGATAATTGATTTTCTTTTGACAATTGTTAAGAAGACTCATTGGTTATAATAATTTGAAAATATGATCCCATTCTATCATGTAATTTTTAAATAAATACATTTATTAGAGTGAACACTTAGAAGTTTTGTTAAGTGTATATGTATATGTATATATATATATATGTATATATATATTCGCACACAAAGTATTCCAGTGTGTTCCACAAATCCTTGTTTTAAGTTCATTGACCCTTTGATAAGAGATATAACTCTTACTGGAATAAATGAGTGAATTGTCAAGGTGAAAGGTAATTACTCTCAAATTTTGCCCTGCAAGGTATGTTGAAATTGTGTCGTCCTTGCACCAATTTGTGATTACAATCAAATTTTTATTTGCATTACAATTAAAAGTTCAAACTTTAAAAGTTAATTCATAAATCCTCCAATTTACAAGCAAAAAGTAATTATTGGTGGTAGCAGTTCTTGTTATTATACTGAATCATTTGAAAATTTATTTTTATTATACTGTTCTATTTCTTATCTAATTGAAAATGTGTTGCTCAGATAAATGTACAGTTAATACGCCTCAGTTATATAAAATCCTTTCAAGCCCGTGAATATCCAGTGGGGGAATACACTATTTTGGCATCAAATCTGTGTTAACTTCTTGTAGCTATACACCCTTAAATTCATGCATTTCCAAAAAAGCTTAGGCTCACACTGATAGGCAGCTTCTGTCTATCCTATACATAGTTTATCTTAAAAATCTTTCATAGCCTAGGGACTGAAGGGATATTTTTGACAGTCAGAAAATTTCATCCATTTAAAGTAACAAAGGACTGCGAACGGTAATATTTATTCGCTGCTTTTCTGAAAGTTATCATATTCCATTTTTTTTTATTATGCCCCTGTAATCGAAGAACTGGGGGCATAAGGTTTTTGCTCTATCCTTCCGTCCGTCTGTCTGTCTGTTTGTCCGCAAAAACTTTAACCTAGCCCGTAACTTTTGATTCGTTGGAGCTATGGCTTTCATATTTCACATGTGTATTCCTTGTGACAAGACATTTCCTTGGATATCAACATATCTGACCTTGGACTTTGACCCACTTTTTCAAAATGTTACTTTTCCCTGGGTATGAATATTTTTGATCTTTTAACCTTGACCTTGGAGTTTGATTCATTTAAAAAAAAACTTTAACCTTGGCCATGTCTTTTGAATGGTTAGTATTAGGACTTTCATATTTCACAGTTGTATTCTTTGTGATAAGACTTTCCCTTGCATACCAACAATTTTGACCCTTTGACCTTGGAGATTGACCCGCTTTTGAAAAACTTTAACCTTGGTCATAACTTTTAAACAGTTGGTGCTAAGGCTTTTATATTTCACATGTGTTTTCCGTACCATACGACATGACCTTTCCTTAGGTACCAACAATTTTGCCTTTTGACCTTGGAGTTTGACCTACTTTTAAAGACTTAAACCTTGGCTATATCTTTTGAACGGTTATTGCTAGGGCTTTCATATTTCACAGGTAAATTTCTTGTGACAAGACCTATCCTTGGATATCAACAGTTTCGACTTTTTGTCCTTGGAGTCTGGCCTACCTTTGAAAAACTAGAACCTTGTCCATAACTTTTAAATGGTTAGAGCTAGACCTTTCATATTTCATATGTATATTTCTTGTGACAAGACCTTCCCTTGGGCACCATTAATTTTGACCTTGACCTCGATGTTTGACTTACTTTGAAAAACTTTAACCTTCGCCATAACTTTTCAACGGTTGGTTCTAGGGCTTTCATATTTCAAAGCCTCACAGGTATATTCCTTGAGACAAGACCTTTCTTTTGGTACCAACATTGTTGATCTCTTCACCATGACATTGAAGCTTGACTTGCATTTGATAAACTTTATCTTCGCCATAAACTGTCATACGGGGGCTTCAGTGTTTCACAAACACATCTTCTTTAGGTAAGATAACTCTATATTTTTGGTAAGATTCAAGAATTTCAGATAGAAATCAGTGGGAAACGAATTTTTTTTTTAAATCTCCCCGCCCCCTTTAAATGAAAATTTCTTAAAATTTGTACATATATTGCAGATTGTTATTTAGCAAATTAATTCATTCTAAAGCTTTTGTCGTTTCAAGGGAGGGAGGTGTAAATTCGGTTACGTTTTAAAGTCTGATTTCACTGAGAAAATGTTTACACCCTTTATCAGAAAGATTTCTAAGTAAGAGTAATTGATTAATTGGCACTAGTATTAGAGTTACTAATTAATTACCAATGAAGTCTACAATGCATTCAAAACAGAAGTCTCTGATGAGAATTAGCTCTACTGATATGTACTAACTTAATTGGGCTTGAAACTATGACAACAGTGATAAACAGAATACGGATCTTTGGTTAGTCTCTATGTGTCGCAAGTTTTATACATTGTAGCAACCTGACTAAAACTACTAGGAGTAGCCTTTTGAAAGAATTTCACAATTTTTTATGCCTCCGTAATCGAAAATTAGAGGAAGGGCATATAGTTTTTGGTCTGTCCGTCCATCAATTTGTCCGCAAAACATTAACTTTGCAAATTACTTTTGAATGGCTTTTTGAAGGCCTTTCATATTTCAGATTTGCATTCCTTGTGACAAGACCTTTCTCTTGGTACCAACATATTTTACCTCTTGACCTTGGCCATGGAGTATGACCTTCTTTTGAAAAACTTTAACCTTTGCCGTAACTTTTGAACGGTGGGTGCTAAGACTTTCATATATCGCATGTGTATTCCTTGTGACAAGATCTTTCTTTAGGTAACATTTTTGACCTCAAGGCCTTGACTTTGGAGTTTGTCCAACATTTGAAAAAAAAATTACCTTGTCTATAACTTTTGAATGGTTGCTGCTAGGGCTTTCATATTTCACTTCTGCATTCCTTGTAACAAGACACTTCCTTTGTCCTCATGTCATTGACCTTGAGGTTTCTTTTTGAAAAAAAAAACTTTAACCTTGGCCATATTTTCTGAACGATTGGAACGTGGGCCATTTTATTTCGTAAGTTTAATCCTTGTAAGATTTTTTCTTTGGGTATCAATATTTTTGAACTCTTGACCTTGGAGTTTGACCTGCATTTGAAAAACTTTAAACTTGGCCTTGAGCTGCCATTATCAGGCATTAGTGTTCCGTAAACACATCTTGTTTTTATTTTTGCAAAACCATTCATCTAAAACAAAAACCGATAAAAAGAATTATAGATATATGTATAGTCTACTTGTGTAGAAAGTTTTATTGAAATCAAACCAAAAGTAAAGTTGAAAGAATTTATCAAAAGTTTTATTGTTAGTAACCATGGCAACACCATTCACTAAAATCAAAATAACGATACACAGAACTATGTATCTCAGTAGAGTCTACTAGTGTACCAAGTTATATTAAAATTGGACCAGAGCTGTAGGAGAATAGCATTTAAACTTCCACGAAAATTCCTGCTTTAGTAACCACAACACCATTCATAGAAATTGAAAACTTGTATCTAAGTTATTTGTATAATCAGTTTATACTGAATTTGGATCAAAACTAAAGGAGGAAGATCATTTTGAAAAATTGTTCACAGAAGATCTAGACCAACAGACGGATGTACAACATACACCTAACCCTCAAATAAGCTCTTTCGGTCTCTGAAGAATAGAGCTAAAAACAAGAGATCCATGGGCCAAAATGCTCACCTGAGTAACTATGGTACTTCTGTTCTTCATCAGCATTCTTTTTCCTACATATTCTTATGAAAAACTTTAATAACTTTTTATGGTCCCACCCTAAACCAGGGGGTCATTATTTGAACAAACTTCAATCTACACTACCTGAAGATACTTCCATATAAATATGACTATGCTGAATATGCCGTTCTTGAGATTTTTAAAGATTTTTCCTATGTATTCCCATGTAAAACTTTAATTACCCATTGTGGCCCCACCCTACTCCCGGGGGTCATGATTTGAACAAACTGAAAATTTACACTACATGTACCTGCAGATGCTTCCATCCGAAGACTAATAATGACTTTCCATTCGAATGGAACAAATTGAGCTTGCATAATGACACGCCCATTTCTTCTGGTAGGAAAAAGCGTTACATGCTTCATTTTAATACCGATAGAACAGATATTTGATAAATACAATAGCCAATCAGATTTGCAGTTAACATAAACACCAAGTAAACGTGTTCGATCGAAACACGTGATAAATTCAATAAGCGTGATAAATTCATAATTATGTACATGTTCATAGACTCACTAGTTTTTCAGAATCGGCAGACTCCAACTCTCCTAACTTCATAAAATCCTCATTTCAGCAAAACTCGTGTTTGCTAATCGCAGAGAGTGGGATGTCTTAAAACACTGCGACAAATAGCTTTTTGTTTCTAAAGAACCAGATGTCATTATGTAACAATCGATGTGACCCAAACATTCCATTCACACGAAAAATTTTACCACTTTGATGCGCATCACTGTACCAGCCCTTTCTTTACAAAATATGCATACATGTATTAACATAATAGACAAATGAAAATAAAGACTAGTTATGTTTTATTTACCACCACCTCCCCCCCCCCCCCCACATAAAAAAAAAACAAAATAGATAGAATGGGGATATACTGGAATCACCATATCTATCTACCTGTCTGTATTTTTGTAGAAGAAAAATTAGAGGTATGAAGGAAATAAACTTGTTTATTATATATATATATATCATAACAAATGAGGCATTAAAACAACCAAATAGTTCTATCATTCTATTATAGTAATAATTTTTAATGCCTCAAAAATTTTTGTAAATAAGAAACAATGAAATTTTACCATGGGCCACAATGCTCATCTGAGTCAATATGGCCCTGCTGTTCTTCATCATCAGATTTTTTACTATTACATGTACATTGTATATATTCCTAGTATGTAAAACTTTTATCCCTGTTGTTACCCAATCCTACCCCCAGCTGTCATAATTTTATAAATGTAGCCCAACCCTACCTCTTGGGGTCATGATTTGAACATTTTTCATATTTCATAATTCCATTTCAATATGACTATACATGGCTTTGCTGTTCTTGAGAAAAAGATTTTTAAAGATTTTTTCCTATAAATTCCAATGTAGAACTTTGATCACCAATTGTGGCCCAGGCCACCCAACCTCCAGGGGTCATGGTTTGAACAAACTTGAATCACTACCTGTGGATGCTTCCATATCAATATGACTAAGTATGGTTTTTCTGTTCTTGAGAAAAAGATTTCCATATAATTATTTCTGTATATTCCTATGTAAAACTTTCCCCATTGTGGCCCCACCCAACCCAAAGGGTTCATGATTTAAACAAACTTATATCATCACTACCTATGGATGCTTCCATATCAATATTAGTAAACATGGCTTTGCTGATCTTGCATAGAAGATCTTTAAAGATTTTTTTCCCATATATTCCTATGTAAAACTTTGATTCCCCATTGTGGCCCTTGAATCTACACTATGTAAAGAAGATTTCACATAAGTTTCAACTTTTTTGGGCCAGTGGTTCTTGAGAAGAATTTTTAAAAATACTACCAAATTTTCACTAATTCTTAATTATCTCCCCTTAAAAGAGGGCGTGGCAATTCATTTGAACAAACTTGAATTCCCTTCTTTCTCATATTTATAAAATATGATCAGAAAAGCTCAGATGAGCTTAAAACAGACATATGAGAAAATTTTGTTTTAATAGCAGATGTATATAAAATAAATCTACGGCTTACATAGGGCTTCCAATTATGAAGTTAGAGAGAACAACATACATGTAAATAATGAAATAACTTGTATATTCTGATAATTTTTTGTTTTAAAAAATTATCATGTTGCATCATAAATATTCCTCAACTATATAAATCTAATACCCCAAGCACATAGTGGGCACTTTAACTACTACCTAAAATCTTTTCCATCAAAAAAAAAAAAAAAACAACAAATCTAAGAAAAAACTTCTAATACCTTAATCTATAAAACTGTTCTCTGGAAGAGGAGAGAGGGTAATTCTGTGCCCAAACTGAAAAGTGATTTTTTTTTCTGTGTACAGTTTCTAAAGGTACCTTATAGAAAACACAATCACATTAGTCCTGTGAAACTGATTTTTTTTTTAACATGAGAGTAAAGAAAATTTCCTTTCCATAATCATTATGTTTGAGAGAAAATAAATAGGTCAATGAAAGACAGTAAAAGGCATTATCAACAAGTAACACTATAACGGTAATGTATACAATTGAAATCTCAAAGATTTAAAACAATCACTTCTTAATTTTAAAATATATTTTTGTTCAACCCTTTAAGTTGTTTGTAAAAAATAATAAAGTTGTTCCTCTTTTTTGTTGTATATACATGTAAATCACACTTTTTTCAATAACTATGATAGTGCATGATTACACATTAAGTACGCAGAGATCATTTTACCACAACCATCTGTCGATTCTTTTTTTTTATACATCTCACTGTAAATCTATTGCTCTGATTATATAAACATAACACATAAAGCTTTTGTACGTCAGTAAAAATTGGTCCCTGACAAATTGTATTTATATCAGATTTTGTAGCAGTTCTGTCCTTTTGCAGTATGGCACATTATAAACTTCTCATAGAAAAACTGCTGCTGTAAACAGAAACTGCTGCTGTTCTGAAATTTCTGTGACAACTTCGCCATCTTAATGAAAGTTGAATGCTGTAATATAGAAATTCCAGTACAAATCTGTCACTTACTTTAAATACTGTAGTAGTCATGTGATCTATAAAGAACTATAAATAAAAACACTGATGATATATTTACAGAAAATATCCTGAATTACATTTTATTATGTGTTTTTGAACACAAAGTCATGCTAGGATATTTTTCTTTTTAAATTAAATCTCCTAATGATACCTTTTGTAATGCCACAACCCACTACTTGTATTAAGCTTCCTTGATTTCAACTTTCAGAAGAATCAGAGCTTGGGATATTTTTTCTCCTCGTTTGTTAAGTAAAGAAAAATGTCGATAGCCTGCAAGCAAACACAGAATTTCATATTTCATCACTTAAAAAAATATAACAGTATTACTGCTTATCAGTTATTTACTCAAAAACAAACAGTCAGACACAGCACTTCAGAAATAAACACTTTAGTGCATTCTTGCTCATCATTCATTTCATTAAAACATTATTTGTTTCAGTACATACATATCCTTATTGGAGTTTGCTCCGATTCCCTATAATATTTTTTGTTGAAATTTAAGAAATGTAAGAAATAACACTAGTACTTGCATTAAAAATCAAATCTTACCCTCTTGAATTGAATGGAATGGGAGAGAGAAGTATCCAATAAAATCATCCACAGTTATGTCATGATCATAGACAACAAATCGAAGGACAGCCAGATCTGGCTGATTGATGACGAATGAAACATCTTCATCCCAGCGAGGGTTAAAACCTGTAATTCACATATTTCAATCTTCTAGTCACAATATAATTATTCACGGTATAATCATTATTATCAGGGAACTAGTACGTTTGAGTTGCTAATTCCTCTGGCCTCTACAAAGGAAATTTACTACCATTATTATCCTTCAGAATAATACAGTCAATCTGATTGGACTAAGAGTGACAGCATGTCACATGCAGGGAGATAACTTGTGATGTCTTCCTCTTGTACAGGATGACAACTTTGTGTTCCTTCAGACGAAAACAAAATGATGCAAGGGCCTTCAGGATAATGACTATATTGTCTTTTTTAGATGACAATAACATGTCGCAAGTGACAAGTAACCAAATTGATTATTTCATGTTTCAAGCAACTACTCTTCAAAATATTTTGAGAGCAGCTTTTTCATGCACATATTCCATATATACAATGTATAATGGTGAAATGTCTTTGTTAACCCAATTTTAGCATACAGTTGTATTGATATAATTAAAGATGTACATGTATTGATATAATTAAAGAGCTGTTGTGTATATTGAAAATTGTTGCTTAAAATTCTAGAACCATATGAAGTGCTTCATTTTGAACTCTGGGAGATGAGATGGTGTGAGTATAAAATATTCAAGTGGTTACAGTCCCCAAAACGTTCTACTTTCCCATTTTTCCATTCGCTCACCGTTCATTCAGCATGCATTCACCGTTCGTTCACCATGCGTTCAGTGGTCGCTCTCCATTCACAGTTTTGCGTTCAGCGTTCACCCTGCGCTAGCGTTCAGCGTTCACAAAGTGTTCAGTGTTCGCTCTTAGTTCATTCACCTTGTGTTCAGCGTTGACTTATCGTTCAGTCTTCACTGTCATTCGAAACTCCAAAGTGAAAGGACTTATCTTTTTGTACAGTGTAAGTAAGGATTTACAGCTTTTGCAATTAAATAATTAATAGTCAGTTAATTAAATATCTTTGAAGCGAATAAAATTGATAGTGTGGTTTTAAAAAAAATATTTAAAAATATAATACACTACAGAATTTTTTTTCTACTTTACATATATATAAGAGTCTACAGTTAGAGAGAAAAAATTCCTTCCTTCATGATCACCATAACTTTTGATGATTAAAATTCAATATGTTTAACAGCCCCCCCTTTTCCCCTTAATCCGTTACTTAGCCAGTATATTTTAATTAACATTTAAAAAGAAGTTAATGCATTTTGTAGCACCAAAATTTCAGTCTCAAAACATACATGCATCTAAAAAAGTCATTAAACAATTGTATTTCAAAATATACACGTGACGGCAATGTATTTTAAAATTGCAGGGAGTATGTTTCACATTTACGCAGCTGAATCATTCCAAGTGTTTATTCCCATGGGTCAATGTATTTCATTTATTTATTTAGAAAACTAGAAAATTAATGATAAAAAAAAATGTTAAAACTTCTTGGAAATACTAGCACTGTGACGAGACTTTCAAACCTGCACACCTGCACAGTGTCGAATAATTTTGATTGACAGGACAAGCACTGGACTTCGTGTGAACTTGAAGCAGGAAAATAAATCTAAAAACCGATTAAATGTCTGCTAAACAAATGGATTTGTTGATTAAAAAATGGTTACTTTCACTGCCTGATATATTTAGAAAAAATAATAAGAATTTTTGTTTGATACAGGTACAAACATTTAGAGAAGGGATTGGCTAAAACGGAATCTCTCTCTCTCTCTCTCTCTCATTTGTCTGTTTGATAAAAACCATGACAGCGTATTACTTTCATACATGTGTCAAGTTCTAAAAATTTAATTAAAAACAAATAATATAAATTTCTCTTTGTATCATCTTGTCCGAGTAAATAATCACTGGGAAATGTCTACAGATACATGTAGAAGTCTGCTCAATAAACATCATTAAAAATAGAAATGACACAAATATATTATTGCATTAAAATATTTAAAAATAAGTGTATTTATGCAATATATCCACGGACCTTTGTAAAATATTTTGTAAAATATTTTTATTTTTTTCTCGTTATTTTACACGGAATCGTCATGGCACTGAAATACATGTATGGTTGTTACAACCATTGTAATTCATTCTATAAGTCAGTAATTTTCCCTTCTAAAATCCACATTATTTGTTATGATTTTATTTGTCAGATAAGATTAAACATATATGTATTTACTTTACAACTAGAATAATTTTAGCTTTTATACTACAGTGCTCGGTAACAATTACAATTGTTTACAGCGATGAAAATCGTGTGATTAAAAAAGTTTTAACATCATACATATGTGGAGAAAATATTGTAAGAAACTCAAATTAATAGTTTTACTTAATGTACATGTATTGTCTTTCTTAGGCAAATTTGGAACATTTATTTATTTATATTATTTTTTTATTTATTTTTTGGCACCTGACATTAGAATACAGTAGAATAGTTTCAATGCAAGGAAAAGATCAGAGGCATTCCAAATAAATTGTTCATATTGCGTTCACCGTTCATTTTGCTCTCGCGTTTGCGCTCTGTTGGCGTTCTGCTTTCGCTCACCGTTCATCAGGTTGCATTCACCAAGTAGAACGTATCAGGGACTCCAAGTCCAAACATACAACCCATAAAATAAAACTGATACAATATCAATATTATGCCACTTGTCAAGCAATCTGTCACTTTGCATGTAAATAATGTTGATATTTCAGGTCAATAAAAATTGATATTACTGATTTCAATCTTGAACTTAAGTACTTAAACTACGATTTTACCATTGTTGTTCTTGACACTGGTTTTGCACTGTTGGGTATCTTCCTTTGCCCCGTGGACTTCCATTTTGATGAATGGGTCTATTATTTCTCCCTTTTTGGAATCATTAGGCTTTGGAATCTGGTATCCGCTGACAACCTGCAGTAAACACAGAGCATGCATCAACTGTTAGGAAAATATTCAAAATGAAAATACACACTCTTCACCTGGTAAACTTACAGTGATGTTCAGCCTTTTTCTACTTGTTGGTGGGTTTGCTGTTTTGTCATCTGCAAGAAAACTTCATTTATTAATAAAATTAAATGTTGATAACTTAAGTAAAAGAATTTTGTTTTTCCAAAAATATATGAAACACAACATAGTATTGGAGCTGCACAAATCAAAATATGTATACCTGACAATAAAAAGCCAGGTTTCAGCAGATAGCCACACCCTCCATTGTCCATAAACTTTCCTTGTAACAACTGCATTGGTTCACTAGCTGTTTGGAAGTTTAATGCCACTAGGAAAAACAAACACAAGATATACAGTTGATTTAGATGTAAATGTATGAGACTGAATTGATATTATATGTAGCTAAGATTGCATGCATAGGAGATCAATCCAATGGTTACATATTGCAGAATCACATATGAAATCGTATCCTTTCTGTAACTGTGTATAACTGCTATCTAGAGGACAAACCAATAGTCTAGTATAGAACATACACATATGAAGACACATTAACAAGCTAATTCAGAGAATTATGGTCTACCACTTTTGGGGTCTTATTGGTCATCGTATAATGAACTATGGCAAATTGTAACTGTCTTGTCTGTCCTGTCTTGTCTGTTCATTATGCTAAAAATTTCATATTTTCTGATGCAATATGTTTTGTTGGCCAAGTTACAGCAAAGATTAATGTTTCTGAAAGTCGAAAAAGGTCTATGTCATAAGGTCAAATATAATAGTCAATTCATTCTTGTCACAGGTAATGCACAAGTGAAATTTGAAAGCTCTCTCATTTTCTCTTTCAAAAGTTATTATCTGACAAAGAAAAAAATTTTTAAAAGTGGGTCAAACTTCAAGGTCAGAGAACAAGAAAAAAGATGTTTATGTGAAACACTGATGCCCTGGTATGACAGCTCATTGCCAATGTTAAAGTTTCTCTAATTAAAGTCAAACTCTAAGGTCAAGGTAAATTGAGGTCAAAATTTTGGTACATGTACCCAAAGTAAGGTTTTGTTACAAGGAATACACATGTGAAACATGAAAGCCCTAGCAATAACCATTCAAAAATTATGGTCAAGGTTAAAGTTTTTTTTGAAAGTAGGTCACACTCCAAGGTGAAAGTCAAAATGTCAAAACATTGGAATGCAAGGGAAGGTCTTGTCACAAGAAATATGAAAGCCCTAGCAACAAATTCTTCAAAAGTTATTGCCAATGTTAAAAATTGGTAAAATTTTGCAAACTTGGGTCAAATTCCAAGGTCAAGAAGTCAAATATGTTAGTAGCCGAAGAAAGATCTTGTCATTATGAAAAATAAAAGCCTTAGCTCCAACAAATCAAAAGTCATTGGCAAGGTTAAAGTTGTGGATAAAAAGACAAAAATATAGACAGACAGACCAAAAACTAAATGCCCACAAATCTTTGATTACTAGGGCATAAAAATCTTACATCCCTGGTCCCAGTTCTTCCTTTATACATACCAACTTGACAACCTGCATTCCACATAGGAACAGGATTGTAGTTACTAGAGTCTGTCCTGCTGCCAGCTGGGTACGTCCGCACCAACATGTGACGGTTCAGGTGAATGATGCCATCTCGATCATTCTCAATCATCTTCAGGACCTTGTTCTCTCCAAGGGAGACAAACATGCCATCTTAGGAGAGATAATTGATTGTAAGAAACCAATGACCTGCTATCACATACATGTAATTCAAAGTGTGATTACTTTTGCTAAATGTATTTCAAATGGTGACTTTACACTTTTTTTTTTAATAATTGATTTTATTTCCCAGACATATACCATGAAACATAATACCATATAAGCAGAATTTTTTAGCGAGGATTTAATTTTGACGTTATTTGCCATGGTTTTGAGATCTCTAAAATTGAACATCGCTAACAATTTATTCCGCATCAGTTGTTAAGGCTATCTTTGTTGACACAATAGAATCGCTAAGATTATTTCTCACTAAAAACATATACCAATTTTTTTTAATGAATCGCTTTATTTGCATCTTGCTAAAAATTCCACATATATGGTATATAGGGCAGCTACCAGGGATGGGATCCTGACTAAGCTCTAACTTTAAGTAACAATATTATAGTTTATCCTACAGCTACACTTTTCTTTAAATCTCTATAGGTGATCTCTATTTACAATCTCTATAATCCTTCTAAATCTACCTGACTTGCTGAACCTTATTTGAATGAAATATAAGGTTTCAGTATCACACACATACTTGAATTGATAGATTCCTCTATCCCTTTAAATCCCACAGCTTTGAATCCCACACAGTCTGAGAACTCAGGAGAAAGCTTAATCTTGTGATCACAGTTTTTGCTTGGTGTTTTAACGGCTTCATTGCTGACGTCTGCTGCCTCGTCCTCATCACTGACTTCCCCTTCATCTGTAGAGCTATGGCTGTACTGCAACTTCTTTCCCTGGTAAAGTCAATGTAATCAATAGAATTATATAAAAAAAAAATTCAAAATTCAAAATGAGAGATTGACTTGAGGAGAAGACATTCAAAATTACGAATAATATTGCATGCATGTCAGCAGACATTCTAAAGTAATACCTTATGCATAAGATACAGTGCTATTTATGACTTCCTCATAAATCTTTGCAATATTAGGCCAAAATAAAATTATTGTTTGTTTGGAAATGCCTCCCATCTCATTGAAATGACCCCTCCTGGAGAAATTTTGTTGACCAAAAATAATTATTTTTTTATTCAATCAATTCTTGGCTGTTATCACATGTGCAACAAAAACTCTTAATTAATGTCGGATCTAAGCAAAAACTGGGTTCTTTTTTGATGGGAGATACATGTTCCTTCACAAAAAGTCAGAAAATAGTGTGTTCACTGCTTACTGAGATTTTTATCAACAGTATTTAATTTACCTTCAATTTTGAAAAAAAAACCCATTAAGTTCCCTCCCTCCTATGTCTGAAACCCCCAGGCAGCAATTCCAAATAAACAGTTTTTTAAGGATGGCCTTAGTGCCTTTGATTGTAGTTGTTACTTGCAGTGTTTGAATATTGAGTAATTTCATAAAATGATACTTCTTTTTTCTTAAAAAACATAAATAAAACTAAACATGAAATCCAAAAATTTAAGATTTAAGTCTGTCTTCAAATGGAGAACATTAGTTTACTCTTCAAAATCAAAACTAGTACAACTTCTATGTTTTTATTGCAGAAGCAATAAGTTACAGTAAGCTCTAGCTGAAAATCTGTCTGGTACTTGTATGTTCATGTATCAGTCTCAAATACTTTACCATTCAATTTCAATCAACGACAGACTGGGTCACTTAATTAACAATTGTTGATTTATATTTGCATTGCAACTATCTTTCATAATAATTAGCGATGACACTTCATTTAGCACGAGATTTTAAATCTTGCAGAGACATACATGTGTGTGTGAGTATATATATATATGAGATGGCAATTGGTAACCGATTAATCGATTACTCGGTCAGAACGATGGTAATAGGTTACAAAATCTGTATTTGGTTAGTCGAAAAAAAAATAAATAAAAATGTGTATTTTTGAACGCAATTTCAAAATTTTATTTCAAATTCTTTGAAAAGACAACTATCCTTGATGCTAGAGTTTCGAAGTATCTAATTTAGATAATTAAGGTTCTCCTGGTTGATATCATTTTGGTAATTGGTCGGTTAGTTTGTGAAGTGTTAATTACTGTACGTTTAAACAGCACGTCAGTGCTCAGCCTAAAAGGGTTTGTTTTAAATGTAAAATTTACTATTCCCATTTCGCCTTAGTACCTCCTGGGGTTTATCAAGGCAAAATGGGAACTTATATAAACAGCTTTGCTGTTCTTGAGAAGAAGATTTTTGAAGATTTTTCCTATATATTCCTATGTAAAATTTTGATCGTCCATTGTGGCCCCACCCTACCACCGGTGGTCATGATTTGAACAAACTTGAATCTACACCACCAGAGGATGCTTCCACATAAATATGACCAATCATAGCTTTGCTGTTCTTGAGAAGAAGATTTTTGAAGATTTTTCCTATATATTCCTATGTAAAACTTTGATCGTCCATTGTGGCCCCATCCTACCCCTAGGGGTCATGATTTAAACAGACTTGAATCTACACCACCTGCAAATGCTTCCACATAAATATGACCAATCATAGCTTTGCTGTTCTTGAGAAGAAGATTTTTGAAGATTTTTCCTATATATTCCTATGAAAAACTTTGATCGTCCATTGTGGCCCCACCCTACCCCCGGGGGTCATGATTTGAACAAACTTGAATCTACACCACCTGAGGATGCTTCCATATAAATATGACCAATCATAGCTTTGCTGTTCTTGAGAAGAAGATTTTTGAAGATTTTTCCTATATATTCCTATGTAAAACTTTGATCGTCCATTGTGGCCCCACCCTACCCCCGGGGGTCATGATTTGAACAAACTTGAATCTACACTACCTGACAATAATTCCACATGAGTTTCATCTTTCCTGGACCATTGGTTCTTGAGAAGATTTTTCAAAAATGCCATTAATTTTTTGCTATTTCGTAATTATCTCCCCTTGGAGGAAGGCGTGGCCCTTCATTTGAACAAACTTGAATCCCCTTCACCCAAGGATACTTTGTGCCAAGTTTGATTGAAATTGGTCCAGTGGTTCTGGAGAAGAAGATGAAAATGTGAAAAGTTTACGACAACAACCACAACGCCAATGACGATGACAGACAACGGACAAATTTCAATCAGAAAAGCTCACTTGAGCCTTCGGCTCAGGTGAGCTAAAAATTACATTTTTCAAAGTACTATTGATTAAGCAGTACAATTATATGATTTTTTTTTTTTTTATCTATGAATTAAATCACATCAGGGCATTATTTGAAATGGGATAAAAATTACCAATTTAATACCAATTGAAACTTACAAAATTAACATTATTGTGGAGCAAGAAGCATATAACTCAACTTTGAAGCAGAGTTGTCTGGTATGGATAATACAGTAACAATAATTAAAAAGTATAATATTGTAAACACATGAATTGATTTCAATTGCCATCCTGCTTCAGATAACCTTGCCCTTCAGTTAAAATGGCTTATTAATCAACATGGTTATTTGCAGCAATTAGCCTAGTTCTGAATTAAATCAATCAAGTACATTTTAATTATAGATGAATCATGATGCACAAGATTTTTATGGTATGCTGTGCTCTGTTAGACATTCAAATTCTCATGTTACAAGGTTATTTCTTCTGTTTGAGAATGGGAATTAATACACACATTTGGCAATATAAATAGCATGACTTGTGAATGGATAAATAGCTGGATTTTAATTAACCTGGGTTATTTACGAGTATTAGGGTCTTCACTGAACAGAGAGTGATCTTGGAAAAGCTTGCAATTTACCACTTTCCGGTAATCCAGTTTTTTCATCAGTAAAAAAAAATATATATATAAAATTAAATATAGTATCTAATCAAAACAATCATGCAAATATAATGCTAAAACATTATACAGTAAAACTAGTTTAGTATGAATATAGCAAATATATGGAAATACCACTTTTGGGGATCCCAGGCAAAATTTTTAACAACTCCTTGTAAATTTTTACAGTAAAAACAAACTCTGATAAAATGAATTTACAGATATAACGAACTGATTTTGTGTCTTGTAGAGATTAAAAATGACGAAACTTATATCCTTTATTGTGAGTTTTAAGATCTCAAAATTTAAACTATTGAACTGACATTATTTTTATTTATATTTTAAATTCATTAGAAAACTTTAATATTCCAAGATAAGTTTTGTATTTCATACTAATTAACATATTCGGCAGTCATTTTTCAAAGAAAACATATATATTGCACACTCTCTATAAAATATACTTCATGGAATTCGTTTTATGGATATAACAAATTACAGTTTTATAGCAATCAAAGTAAATTCACAGATCCCCAGGACTTTTGTATAACAGAGTTTGTCTGTAAAATGCTACATATCTTTAACAATGTTACAAATCCAAATTTAATAATATTACACAAGTCCCAAATTTAACACTGTTCAAAATTTGAAAACTTACAATGTTACAAATCCCAAAACTGACAAACTGTTACAAATCCAAAATATAACAAAGTTAAAAATCCCAAATTTAACAAGGGCACCGCAAAGCAGAGCATTCCCTTGCAAAAGAGCTCATCAATCTTGATATGAATTATTACTAGCATAACTTCCGTTACACATGCACTTACCCCCCCCCCCCCCCCCCCAAACACACACACATGCACACTTCTTTGTGAGGGGATAACAATGTAACAAATGCCAAATCAATACATCTCTGATTAAAACAATAATGTTCCATACTGTAGTTACATACTGTTGGGCTGGGTATTGGCTAGAGATTTTCATAATGCGATATTTTTTACTGTATTGCTATATGTATTGCAATATTTTCAACAAAAATTTAAATGGTATTTTCTAATTATATCAACTTCCTTTTACATGTAGAACGTACATAACTATGACAAATAACCAATAAAAGATATCTTGTTGATTGAATTACAGTTATGTAACTAAATACACCCATACAACAGCTTTTGTCTTACTGTTTGGCATGATCGCAAACCTTTCTGACAACTTTTCTTTATATTTTATGATAGAATTCCTGAGTCCAAGCTATATCGGTATTACAAAAACGTATCGCAATGCGATATTTTTTGTCAACATACTGCAGAATATCTGTATTATTGCCCAGCTCTAACATACTGTTATGTAGTGAAATGTCTGATATAATTAGATAACGGGTATATATTGCATCAATTCCTTTATTTATTTGGATATATCGCATGTAGTGAGTGTTTGTGAATATTTTGCACTTATTGTAATATGATGCAGCAAGCTTACATTCTTTATTTCAATGCTTCAATTACTCATATAAAGAAATATTACATGCTGTCATGTGGCATTAATATACTATCCTAAGTGAACATGTTGATGTTGTATGTACTCCAGCATGCTAGAGGTTCACAGCGTGATACTTTTGACTTGGCGCCACGTAGAAGTGTAGGGACGTGAACCCAGGCTCTTACTTGTAGAAGTTTAAATGTTGAATACAACAAGAAGAAAAATGTTCTACACACTACATTAAAATATAGGGAATATTCTTCATAACTTAAGTGAACAGATTGATCATAAATACTTACTTTGATGATAATTTTCCCCATGAGGTCATGAGGAGAGGGAATTCTGTTAGGGGGTTCTTCAGGGGCATATAGTAGGTCTGTAACAAAGAAAATAGTTTGATTTTCTACCTATCACCAAATTAATTTTACAGCAAAACTGTATGTTATCACATCACAATTTACTGAATGTCTGTTACACTGTGCAATTAAGAATTTCAAATACCCAACACGGTGTCTTTTTACTTTAAATCAAAAGTAAGAATTGAATACTGATATTTCTTGTACACTAATTAAGATTATGGAAAAAGAAAGTTGGATATAAATGTCCAGAATAAATCAAGAATTGAAGTAGCTTTACCTCCTAAGATGGATTTCAGGTACTTTGCCATGACACCTTGCTGTCGAACAGAGCAGTGATTTTCTATAGACAGTATTACTGGGTAGCTACAATTCATAGACATAGAAAACTTCATAATTCTGATTCAAAATTCAGTGTCCACTAGTAAATAACATCACTTTTTTTAAATAAAAATTCATTATGTATTCAATATCCAGCCTCTAAGAGATGCTAGGATATTCTACCATTCAAAGTAAACTTAGGGTCACTTCTCACTATGGCGATTTTTCTTTTATTTCACATTTGGATATTTTCAACCATAAACAAATATGAGTTTTTTTTAATCATTATAGAATCAAAAAAAAAAAAGTTTTCATATCCCACAAAACATAAATTCACTCAAAGGCCCATAACTCCACTCAGATAATGAGATTTGTGAGCTGCAGGAAAGTGGTAAGTGATAAAGGATCAAGCTTGTGTTGTTAAGTGTTAAAAGAAAATTACACATGAATTTCCAAATTGTGAGTTGTAGCAACTAAA